TCCATTTTCCTGATAGAGGAACTATTTCAGTCATTTTAATTATTTTTGCTACTGCAAAAAAGCTTGCCTGAACATTTCTGTTTATGTTTCCTTAGTCATATAACCAGGAGAGCCTGGTTCTCTGTTCTCAACCTGCCTGACCGTTGGAGAACATTTCCAGAAAATTAAGAAAGATATTGCTAATCAATGATTGTGATTTCATCAACCTAAGATCTATAGTCCAATAAGAGACAACAGAATATAAACAAAGTCATGGGTTTGGACTTTATCTTGTAGTGGTACAAGACAAGGAAAATTTCAAAGCCAGTGTTACAGGGCCTGTATGACCAGGGACAGACCTTCCTCAGAGGTGACTTGGGGCAGGCACTGGGGAAAGGACATTTAGCCAGGGCACTGGCCGGAGAAGGGTTAGCAGTGTGAAGAGTGGAGAGGAAGTGCAGATGTCTGCCGGCCGGTTCCTGACATGGGTGGGGTGTGGGTAAGAGAATCCGTGCAGGCCCATACGGCAGCCCGCCCTCCAGGCACGTCAGTGTCACCAGCCCGCACACGACTGGAGACCTCGGGCTCTGCGTCCTTACCTTCACAAATACGCCGGGATAACGACAAAGTTTTATATATTTTTTTTTTGGTACCGGGGTTGAACTCTGGTCCTTGCTCTTGCGAGGCTGGCGGCAGCACCACTGAGCTAAATCGACAAAGTTTAGAAATATGTGAAAAGCTATTTTTTCTCTCTGATAAAAAGTCATCAAAACACCATAGCAACTGGTGTTAATTACTATTGCACACGCCTGGGTGTGCTGTGTGTAGATTAATGATGCTTGGATGACTAACAAAATAAAGACATATGTAATTCATAAATTACTTCAGATTTTTCCACCAACCTTGTTTTGTTGTGGCTTTATTTTAATAAAAGCACTAATTATATTACTATAATCAAATCTCAAGGAATTTATTTTACGGAAAGCAATGATCTCAAGGATTAAAAACAAAATGTTTTTACACAGGGTATGTACGATTTAAAACATTTTCACTGAAATATAAATTAAAGTGAAAATATTTTGAATTAGCATCTGTTTCATACATTTCCCAAAAGGTTATTTTTTCTAAAAAACAAACCATAATTAACGAAATCAAAATATTTTTTCAAAAGCATTTAAGATTAAATTTTAAAATGTACTCCTTAGGAAATTTAAATGTATCTTATGAAATATTTAATAAGCATCTACGAAATCTTTTGTGACTACCACACTATTTGCATTGCCACCAAAAGACTACATGTTAGGGTAAGAGCTGGAGGCACCTTGCATGGGGATCACTCCCACATTCTGATAAAGACAGGTTGTAGCAGAATCCAGTATAGACGGGGTCGCAGATCAGGGCATGGCCGTAATGCAGAAGCAATTTGCCACTCACAGATCCCAAGAAAGAGGGCACCCGGGCCAGGGGAGAGATACCAGGGTCCATCTGGAGGCAGAGGGAGTGCTGGGAGAACACGGGCCAGATTCTTCGCAGTAGTTTCCCTGGGAAGGGATGAGTTAGGTAGGCTTAGCAGGCTTAAGACGGGTTCATTTTAATAGTCGCAGCAGCTTCTGGCACCAAGCTGCCTGCTGCCCAGCTCCAGCGTCAACAGGGCAGAGGCAAGTCTTCCTGGGTTAAGACTAAGGCATTTAGCACCGTATCCCTTACGGCACCCTGGTTCCCAAGGCTCTTGCCAAGTCTGGGGACACTGAGAGTGTGCCCAGACCAGATGTCTGGTATTATCTGAGCGGCACCGAGAATGCAGCACGAGTGTTATCTCTACTACCTGACTTCCTCCCTGTATGGTAAGTCAGCTGTTCCTGAACACTGGTCATATAATGGAGTAAGGCCGGTTCGTGATCTCACTGCTTCTGTAGCCTAACCTATAAAATGCCTCTCCCTGTAGTAACTGGCAGAACAGAGCACAGTAGAAAGGTCGAATGCTAATAGTCTAACTGATTGCCCTAGGACCTCCAAGTACATTCTGGTGAGTATTTCTCCAGACCATCGCCACTGGACTTCCCGGGTGAGCTGCTGTTGAGTACACGCCCCTCGTGGGATTTGGCCCCTGGGTGCTGTTGAGTAGAACCCCTTGTGGGTCTTTGGAGTAGTGCCGCTAGGCCCTATGCACTTCCTGTAGACTCTTTCCTGCAGGTATTACATAAAGTTATCCTCATCTGTTAGTCTGTTAGCAGGTTTTAATAAACCTTATCTCCCCAAGGTGTCTCCAGGTATTTTCTTTGGTTTTTTGGCAATTTACCCCAGTCCCTCACAGAGTTGGGCTGGGGACAAGGCAAAGGAATAATGGCCATAATATGAGAGCCCAACAAGAGCGGAGCTTAGAAGGTGAGGGCTCCGAATCATATGATTTGCATATGAAAGCTGTGCTGGCAAGTAACTTCTTTGCTGTCTGCGGGGATTTCCTAAACCCAGGGGTCAAAAATGCCCCATTTTATATAGAAAATAAGAGACATGAATAATACACACAAATATAAGAGTAAGAGAAAATTGTTTATATTGCAGAATGTTCCTCAGGTCATCTGTACAGCTCTTGCCAATGCCACACAACTCATTAAGACGCCCAGCCTCTTTGTGCACGGGCACAGCTGACTAGAGCTGAGCCGAGCAGCTGCTGCAGCGTCGGATGAAGCCGCCTGAGCCCATTTCTCCAGTCTCTGCCACTCCGTATAGTATCCAGGGAGGAGGTCTTGGAGTTTGCCTGTTGTTACCAGGCTGTCTTTCTTATGGTAGAAAAGAAAACAAAAAATATCTTGCACTCGTGTTTCCAAAAAAAGTTGCTAAAAGAAGTTTGACCAACAGGCCAGAGATTCTAAGAAAAATGGGAAAAACCACACTTCTTCGGTAAAGGAAAGAATAATCTCATGTTCAGCAGAAAAAAGTATGTAATGTGAAAACGATTGTCAAAAAATATAATTTATAAATCTATATGAAATAATTTACAGTTCCCCCTGACTCAAGCATGGTAAAAATAAAACCTAATAAAATGACAGATGAAATTGCATCTGTTTTGAATATAACATGAGTAGAATAAGCAATGGTCCCGCAGAAAGAGTTACATACAACGTGAAGCAATTTGCCTAGTATCAGCACCATTGCAGAAGATGAGTTTATCACGGAGGATCTACGGATAGCAGCATGTGGGACAGAAACAAGCACTTAGCAATCTAAGCCTCATTGGAGACAACTGTATTCAGAATGTTGACGCTAAAGCTGAGAACTTCCAGGACAAGTTACTTGAGAAGTAAATTACTTATGAAATTTACTGTGATAGCTGAGATGAACCTGGGTAGCTTTATTTCTTTGTCCCCCATTTTGGTATGACTATAAACTTCTGGGACATAATGCCTTAAGAGAGCTGCATAGACCAGGACATGACATGCTATGCTGTGCTCAGAAAAGTCGTGACAGTTTTAGTGTGCACTGACTGGTCTCTTTCAGGAAGCTGTGCTACAGATACAGTCTGAGAACAGCGAAGGCGAACACTGCAGCCACCAACGTGTCTGAATCTAGGATGGTAACAGCTTGTAAACAGGGTACTGTACTGAGTGAGCTATTTGTTAAATCATTTAAACAGGAACAATACTAAAACACTTGAAACATTCTCTGTGGCTAAGTCTAAAACCATAAACAGTTTATGTTTATTATGGCATGTTACCATAACATTTGATTGTGTCATAGTGACAAAGATTTTTTAATTAATTTTGGAAGAATATATATATATATTATATAT